TATAGTTACTTGGGTTAGAATAGCATCCAGCCTAGGCTTCTCTCACTGGCTTCTTCGGCATGTCTATAATTTATATAAATTAAATCTCTTATTCCAGGGGCCAGATCGTGGGGGTTGGTAGTTCACCTATGTCAAAAATTTCAATTACAGTTTCCAAGAAAAGAAAGCAGATGGAAATGATGGTCTGAAAGCTTTTGAAGTTGGAACAGGCAATTATGTATAAACCATAAAGTGAAGATGATGATGATGATTATGACAACAGGTTATAAAAATAAAAAAAATCAAATCAGCAGGGAAGCACAGGATCAACTAGTACTTCCACAATACTTCTGAGAGAGCTGCAGGGGCCCATCAGTTAAACTAGGGGACAGCAGCTGGGCCCCTGCCAGACCCCTGCTGCTGGAAAAGCATTTCTTCATATTTGTTGCATCCTGACTTTGTGCAAACTGGAGCTCAGAAATGCTCTGAAGCTATTGCCTACTTCGTTGCTCTTCTGGTCTTGGCCAGCTGTGCCCCTCCTAGTTTTGTTCCACGCTCATTAAGGATTCATCTCAAGCCTTCATTTAACATCCTATGAGCTTAGCCTGCTCCAGCAAAGTTTTTCACTGTGCTTTATTTCACACTATGCAATCATCACATCCATTAAGAGGGCAATGTTAATGTCCCTGAAGAAGGAGTCAATGGAAACTACTGGGTTGTTTAATATTAAGCCATGTGTTAGTACCTGGGTGAATCAGGTACTAACCACAACCACTCCCTAAATGCAGTATCAGTAGGGGGCTAAAGGAAAAGCTCCTGTTTCACAGATTTGTTAACATTGCTTGCATCACAGAAAGGATTTGCAGTGCTTTGCCAGGTCCCTAATTATATCATACGAATGGCGCTTAAGATTTTTTTCCTTTGGTTGCAAGAAGGATGCAGCTAGTTGAAGGACAAAGCAACACTTGAGGAATCATGTTGGTTATTTGAAAACTTATTTTGCAGTTTCCTCATTTCTGACATTTTGGAACCCAATTCTTTAAATTACATATCCATATGTGTGCTATGTTTTGTGTGTGTGTACTTGCATGTGTGTATTTAGTAGAGTAGATGTCCCTTTGAGCCCTGTGACACTAAAATTAAATGTTACCAATTACCAAATAATTATTTACTGTGTCAGTTTTGTCATTTTGATGAGATTACAAAATCTTTCTAAACAGAGTCAGTAGCTGACTTTCTTGCAGAAATATTTTGATCCTTACCCAGTGACACAGATAGCTTTTGCATGCCTCTCTTAAAATTGACTAGGCAATATTACTTCCTATGAGATTCTCATTATGAGATGAATGGGAAATCTAAAGCTTTTCACATGACATGGAAGAAATTTCTCTCTCATCTCTAGTAAGAGACAGACTGGCAAGTGAGAGGTACATGAAAATTGTTGGGGGAACAGAAGATGGGGTAGAGGGCCAGTATTTCTGCAGAGTGGTGCTTTGTTCCTTGTCCAGAGATTACATTATGTTTATGCATCTTTTTTCATTTGCTTTAAAGTCAATAAAGCTACTTCTAAAAAAATGAAATAAGGAAAAAATAATTTTTGACCCAATTCGCTTTCAACTACCTGCATGCAACACCCACTGAACTAAATGGTGGTTAGTGTATGATGAAAGGGTAACCTGGGCCCTGGACATTTATAAAACATTCTCAATTGTTTCTTCCCAAACATCTACTTTGCAAACTGGTTGAAATCCCATAGGACCTATAATTGACTGCTTAGCGTCACATAGTTCAATCATGTTGAGGTTTTACATTGCCCTCTATGTACTGCACCAAACAAATTACTCTAAATTTATCAAATAACCCAGCAATGCTTCTTATCGTGGTTAAAATAATTAATCACACTTTTAAAGCATCGTGAATATAGAACATCCTGTATGCGTAAGGCTTTTAATTTGCCCCTGCCTTGCAGCATTAGAGAAATGATCTCTTCAGTCAAATTCCACTTCACCTTTTGTTAAAGGATACAGTGCCAGCAGAAATAAATTGTAAGGAGATTCCTTTGGGGTAAGAGTAGAAGAACATTTTCAGCTTTACATATTTCAAGCCACTTTTCAAATGGGAAACTGGTAAAGCAAAATTGGCTTATCTAGTCCACGTCAGCTGATTCTGTTTATTGCTTCTGCTCCAATTTGTTTAATTTAAGAGATTTTGCTTTAGCCAGGCATGGTTTTTGAGGCTGGGAAAGTATCCTCAGGAAATATGAGAAATAGATCATATGAGCAGCTATCATATGTGGAAAGACCTGGGGACTAGACTGAAGCAGGATTGTATGACTGATAAAATCAGCACCAGTTTAATTCCCCCATAGAAAGCTAGGAAGCTGTTTTGAAAAGGCTTTTTGATTTGAGCAGGCTTCACAGAACAGAAACATTTGCCCACAGGTTATAACAAACAAGATCTATTCATCCCAGATAGGAACTTCTGAAATTTGTGGGGTTCCTTGGGACATATGACCTTATGATCAAAGAAGTGCATATAAATACACCTATGCATCAGCTAAATCCTCAAATTATTTCCTTGTAAATTACCATACTGGGGGTTGAGATGGGGGAGTCCAAGTATTGACGTGAAGGACGCCAGCCATGCAGGTGCTAAGAAAAGTGAAATTCACTACAGATGCTAGCCCACATCCTTGTGAAAAAATTAGGCTTTAAAGGACTGGCTCTGTGTTTGGCTTTCAGGTTCTGTACTTTCTTTCATACTTGTACTAACATGAGGAAACAAGAGTGATCAATCTAACTTTTTTCAGTAATTTGAGAACCCCAGCTCTCTTTCCTGCCTGGAGCAGGGGGTCGGACCCAATGATCTACCAGGTCCCTTCCGACCCTAGAAATCTATGAGAAGGGAAGTTACAGAGTTAACAAGGAAGAGTGGCAAAAAGTCATTCTGCTCACCAAGAAAATGGACTGAAGCTGGCATGGTTGAGCACATATGATTACTAGTAATGAGTGAGCAGGTGTGTGTGTGTGTGTGTATGTATGAATATAATGCTGCCCTCTTCCATTTTAGATATACCCTGTTCAATGCTCTCCCTCTAAAGCATCCATTCCTGTCACTGTCAGAGATGGGATGTTAGGTTAGACCAACCATTGGGTTGAACCAGTATGGCATTATGCTTTTATATAGCCCTGCCCATCTAACAAATATCTTGTGCATTAGCACAAATGATAGGAGCCTATGCCAGGCAAGTTAGCTGAGTTTTGAATCTTGTTCCAGGGTGAAGTGACTGATGCCCAGGGCTAGGGACATAAGTTACACACAAACCAGTTTAAGTGATCAGAAACTGGTTTAAACCTGTAACAGAACATAAGTCCAGGGCAAATAAACCAGTTTCAAAATGGTGGTTTTGGTAAAAAACAGTTTGAGATAAACCTGGTTGAATGTGGTATCAGACTTAACTGATTGAGCTCAAACCAGTTTATACAACTTCTGTCCCAGACCCCTGCCTGGTTTAAGTTAAACCAAAGTCCCCCAGCATCCTGGCATGATCTGTGGGCTGGACTGTGTTCTCTGCTCCAGCAAAGCAGGGCTGGCTCTGCCCATCTGCTCCCCAGTTGGAGCAGGGAGAGGCAGGGGCAGGGATCTGACCAGATGCTGGCCCCAGAAGGGAGCAGGGAAGAGGTTTATTCCCCTGTCCCACCAGCATGGACCTGTCAGGCATTTCTCCACTGGCTGCTCCAGTGGTGGAGGCATGGCCAGCCCCGGCAGTAGCCTGGAGTGAACTGGCCAGGGAGGAGGTTTAATCCCCGCCACCCTGTCCTACCAGCATGAACCCAAGCTGGGTCTGCCTGGCACTCCCCACTCGCTGCTGTAGTGGTGGGGGTAGGGGCACAGCCAGACATTGGCCAACATGGCCCCTGAGGCAGAAGGGACAGGGAGGGGGGGTTATTCCCCCTTCTGCTTCCACTGCCCCCGTGGGACCGCAGCTGAGGTCTCCCAGACCCCAGCTAGAGCAGCAAGGGGGGGAGTAGCCCCTGTCATGGTGTGCTGGAGTGCAAGCCTCTTCCTGGGGGAGGGGGCGCACTGTAGGGCAGTTCAAGCTGCTGCAGACTGCACAGGACGAGCGGCACTGGGGGTGGGGCCTGGGGGGCTATGGCCACTCCTCCCAGCCCCAGTGCTACTGCTCACCCAGCACAGTCTGTGGCAGCTCTGACCCCATGCCAGGGGCGGTCAGGGCTGACAGACCCTGGCTGTGGTCCTGAGGGGAATAAACCTTCTCCTTACCCTCTCTGCCTCAGGGGACCATGCTGGCCAGTGTCTGGCTGCACCCCTGCCCCCACCACTGAGGTAGTGAGGGGGGAGCACCTGGAGGACCCCCGCTTGGGTCTGTGCCAGTGGGTCAGGGAGTAGGGAATTAAACTGCCTTCTTGGCCAGTTGTCTCTAAGCTACTGCCTTGGCTGCCCCCTCCCCCCCAACACAGCTTCCCTGCAGCCAAAGGCACACTCTAGCACCCCCTGGTGCCTGGCCTGAGCCACTGCATGCATGTGCTAGCATTTCTCGAGTCAAAAGCAAATGTCTGTTCACTTGCAAATCGGTTCAGTCTAGGCAGGTTAGACTAACCTGCAAAGATTGAATCACTCAGGCTCTGGCTTTTTTAATGTCTTCCATAGCCCTGATGAGGAAGTTATCACTATGTAATTCGAAAGCAAACATATGGTCCTGTTGGGCTGTTTGTAATTCCTGGTGAGAACAAGCACGCAGAGTGTGATTCTGCCCTGCTGTGTTCTTTTGCATTGGCATTTACACCTGTGTGGAATAACAGTGCTGTCAGTGTGATTATGTGCTAATGCTGATCCAGTAGCAGCTCATACCTACTGTGCACTCAGGGGCAAAGGAAGCTGCCTGGTGCAATGCAGAGAGGACCCATACCCCAAACAGTCCCACTGTCTCCTTAAGACTTGTAGGGAACAGGCCATTCTGTAGCATGAGAATAGCTGTTCTGCTGCACCTCAGTCTCCTGAGTGTGCAGAACACACCAGACTGTGTTGGGCTGCAAGTCCCCTGATGAACACTTTGTAAGGGCCATTCAAGGTTTATTATGTTGTTTGTGCCTCACTTGCTAAGGCCCTGAAGACTGTATCTTTTTCTTATTGGAAGCAGAGAACGCCCTTGGCACACCTGTCAATTCTCAAAGCATCTCATATGTGCAGCAGCCAGGAGCAGGCTGGTTCTGTTACGAGGGAGTCTGTTCTTGGACCATTATTTGCCCCTGGGCTGTGCCATCCTGGAGCACAAGCCAAGAGAATGGTCTATTTTGTTGTCTGCAAAGTCTCACTTGTAAAGCCACCATCCACTTTCCGATGTATGGTGCAGTACCAGAGGCAGATGAAGAACCCTGCAGGCAGACAGAAACACCAAATGTAAACCATTGGCCACTACACTTCTTCCATTCACATCCATGGTAACCAATGGGTGACACCAAGCCCGTTGTTCGCTGGCCTTACATTGACTTATACATCTCTTCCCATTCCTACTCCCCGTCACAGAAAAAGCTGCAATGCCCAGATTCAAAGGCAGCAGCAGCTTAAGTGTGATGACCAGGTGGTGGCTAGGAACTGTGCTAATCATAGAAGTAGTGGCAGCAGGCCACAGAACCCTGAACTCGGCTGCTCCTAAGAAGTGGTAACAAAACCTCTGAGGCAGTAGTCATTAGCCAATCAATTGTGATTGATTGGTTGATCTCAGAGTCTCTGACAAAATCTCAGTTGGGGTGGGGGGGGCTGAGCTCAAACCTCCCAGACTGAGATACAGAGCTGCAGTTTCTCCAGGAGGAGTGCAACGCCATATGCATCCCACCACTGGGCTGAGCCATGACCCTGCTGCTGGGACTGGGCAGGGTGAGTGGGACGGTCCCTCTCTGTACCCTTCCATGCCTTCTGCCACTGAGTGAGTGGGGGCTCAGCCAGGCCAGGTTGTGGGAGGGTCACAGCCCAGGTGGCTGGTCCAGGGGCACAGAGGGCTCCTGCCACTGCACATATCCTGGCAGAAGCCCAGAGGGCATGTGTCCCCTGATCTCTGTGCAAAGTGGAGGCAGCTGCTGCTGCACACTTGGCTTTGCATCCTGAGCTCTGCTGCAGCCATGTGCATCCTGCTACTGGGTGGGCAGGGAGCGTGGCTCAGTTCAGCAGTGAGACACACGTGGCATCGTGCCACTCCCAGGGCAGCTGCAGTGGGGTTCAGGGTGCGAAGCCCAGTGTGCAGTAGCAGCTGCCTCCACCCCACACACAGACTGGGGGGGCATGTGTCCCCGGGCCTCTTCAGGGTACATGCAGCAGTGGGAGCCCCTCCGCCCCACCCCCCGCATGCCTGGACGAGCCACCTGGGCTCCAATCCTCCCACCACCCAGCTCAGCCTTCACTTGCTTCCTCATTATACTCTAGGGGGACTCATAGCTTTCTACAACCTCTTTTCATCAGCCTGAGTCTGATAAGACAACAAAGAAATCCCAGGAATTATAAACAAAAGGATCCTAATTCCAGATACTAGGGTTAAGAATAACAGCAAAGATAGCATGAAGCCCACTCACCCCTGTCCCTGCCTCTGCCCCACTCCCTCCCTCACTGCGGGGGCCTCAATCTGTGCCCCTCCCCTCCCCTCCCCTCCCCTCCCACACAGACTGACACCTGAGAGAGAGGGGGGGGCATGCATGCTAGATCCTGGGTTGCACTTTAATTCAAAAAGTGATCTCATACTTAAAAAGATTGGAGACCACTACCCTGAGGCAAGGCAGTTGTGGCATCCAGTGTTTCTGCAGAGACACCTTGAGGGGGCTTTGTTCCAGGTCTTAAGCCACTTTTGCTTTCATCCCAGTCACCACATTCCCCATCTCCCACAGTCTGAATAGGGTGCCCTACAGTCTCACTAACCATGGAGAGAGTTTATGATGGTGAACAGGAAGATCTGAAAAGTCAAGAAGACACCAAAACTGAGGAAGGCAAGGGCCCAGGTTGTTCCCAGCAGGCATGTCAGCCCTAGCACTGTCATTATGTCCCTTCTTGCTCGTTCTTTCTGACTGGGAATGTTCCTCAGCATCCTCAGTACAATGACTAAGACAACTATGTTGAAGAGCATGGTGATCCCAGCATAGCTCAGGTTGATAAAGTAATGGATACTCTTGGATGTGATCCAACACCTGCATGAGAAGAAGAAAAAGTGGAAACTATGATAATAATTTTGATGACACCAGATCGTGGGGGTTAGCACTATAGCTGAGAAGAGAAGTCATAATTTGGGAATGGCACAGCTTCTTGAGATCACATGATTCATAGGCAGGATCCAGCTTTTGCAATCAGAGGGAAACCAGAGATGGCAAAGCATATGAGACAGGAAAGCAGATCTCACTGCAGAACTGCCAGAAAGCCAACTGCTTTTCCTTAGTTTTCTCATTTGTAAAATGGGGATCATGATACTGACTTCCATTGTAAAGTGCTTCAAGGTTTCTGGGTGAAAAGGGCTATATAGAAGCTTTGTATTGTCATAATAAAAATGAATATTATTGTTCTTGATGAATCTGCATATAGTGCTTCATGGATAGCAGTTTCTGTGGAAGTACAATACAAGGCTTTCTGGAATATTGCCACCATTTTTTCATCCCGAGAAGAAAGAACCAGAGCTAGGACACAGGCACTTTACAATTGGGAAACCCTGGATCTAGTCCTGCTAGTTGCCATTACAGCACAACATGGTTATTTGTCATGTGAAGAAGATCCTTTATCTGTTCAGCACTTACATGGTAGCAGTGTAGTTGTGACCACTGGTTTTAATTTGATGGAACCCATAGACCTCTTTCTTAGCGATGAGAATGCCAATCACTATTATTGCTGGCAGACCTGTGAGGTTGCAAAACAGAACAGGCTTTATCCAGGAAGGAAAAGCCAGGTAAAAGATTCCTACAGTTGTGAACAAGCACACATACACATGTACACATAGATGGAATTGTGTTGGGAAGCTGGATAGACTACAAAGGAATTAGTCCTTAGAGAAAGGAGTAGATTGGAGAAAGGAAGAAGGGAAGATCCAGTTGGGGAGATAGAAGATGAAAGAAATGATGAAAGAATTTGGTGCAGAGCTGGGCGAAGATGGGCAAAACCTTCTCTATAGGAAGGTTGGAGAGAAAGCTGTATAGCCATACCAAGCCATTTTAGAGAATAGAAACATCAAGACAGGAAACTCCTTTGTAAGTTGGATTCATGTCCCACATCATTACTGTACACTGAAGTGGCCACCCAGGAGAATGTTTCTGATGTTCCTGCTCCAGGTTAACAGGAACATCTTTTATTAAATACTTAACACACACATTAGAAATTAGCAGTAATCAAAACCCTGCAGCTTTTGGGGAGGAATTGGGAAACAAATCCAGACATCTATTTTACAATCAGCCCTTATCTCCTTAACTGTGCAAGTCAATACGATAGAAGCAAAAGACACAATTTTTAAACAATTCTTAGATGAACTAGCCAACTACCCATCAAGAATGACCGGGGGGGAGGGGGGGGGCAGTAATGAGCTACTGTGCAGTCAGTGTCACCTAAAAGTCATTTGGTGACATTACTGTGCAGTAACTCCAGTTACTGAACAGTCATTTAGTACTTGTGTATACAAATACTAGATGTCTGCGTAGCAATGACTCATTATGGGAAATAACTTGTCAGGTAGGAAGGCTTCAGGACAAAGGAACCTGTGCTCACCCCAGCCAAGCATGCACAACTTGTGGATGTATCGCCTGATGTACACGTTGTAGACTTTGATCAAGAGCAGGTAGAGGTGGAAGCCCTCAATGGCCATCCAAGTGAAACAGCAGAGCAGGGAGTAGTGGAGGAATACAGCAGCAGTCCTGCAGAGCCACATGAGATTAAACGATGCTAGGGGCTCGCTGAGTAGGAAGAAGCCGTTCAGAAAGAAGAGGCCACCCAGGAGGTTCATGTGGATTTTGATTGTATTATCACCCTTCTTTTTTCTGAAATAAATAAAGTCAGTAAAATGGAAGACTTCCCTTGGGCTGCACATGCTATGGGGATAGGAATGGGTTGAAAACCAGACAACATACACCTACTCAAATCAGTTTTTCCTTCTTTAACACCCCTCCCTGCCTTTTCAGGTAAGTATCATTTTGAAAGGTCAGTGTGAGGTTCAGGCGAATGCCATACATGTGTCATCTTGCTGATCAATGCAAGATGGTCCCATCATGGGGTATTTGGAAACTGCATGTTTCCCAGGTGTAGTGTAGTAGGCAGTTCTTTCCATGGAAGCTAAATCCAGCCCATGATTTAAGGAGACCTTGTATGTTGTTTACAGGCAGTATACACAGTTGGGCAAGATGTACTTTAGAGACTTTTGACACTAGCAGTGTGGGTTAGAGAGGGTGCTATTTGTGTCAATTCTCTGCCAGCCATAGCCCAGTGGTGACAGTTATGCTGGTTTAAAGTGCTCTTGCTGGTACAATTTATTTTACTGCGAAGCCAGTCATCCTTGTGGTGGTAAAAGGTATCTCTCCACAGGGAGGGTTGACTGGTATAGGCCAGACCTTTCTACTGAAGACTTCCTAGCCTTCCTTGATTCCTTTATGAGCTAAAAAGCCAGACACAACCATAAGATTGATATGTGCCCAGCAGCCTCAGTAAATCACTTCATAACTATGACAGCCAAGACCTCAACTAAATCACCTGTTTTTGTGAACTCATGTCTCTCCATAGACCTTAATGGTACTATACTGATTGGCACCAGCTGACGAGTTGGCCTCTTGACTTTTCTACTGTAAAGGCCACAACAATGGAAAGGGCTAACTGGATCCCTCCCTGGAGTGGGCATGGGAGAAAATGATGAAGATATTAAGGCAAGAGTATGACAGCTTGGGGATTGTAAAGGCAAATGTGTCTGTGCAGAGAGGGATGATTTCAGCCATAGTGCAACTCTAATGGACATCAGGAGCAATTCATCTTCAGGGTTCAGCTTAGCTCAGAAATGCTCTAGGGGGCATCCATTGGACCAGCTCAGCCAGAATTCCCTTCTTCACCTCAAAGATGTAAAAAAACCAACGGCAAGGGCATCTTTATGAGATTTACAGCACAGTTACCTGGAGACAAGGTATAAGAGGATGGTGAGAAGAGAGGCAGCAGCTGAGATACTGCAACCTATGATGGTGATATAGGTGAGAGGAGCCAGGAGGTTCTCATTGATGCCCTCTGAGGAGATTTGCTGCATAAAAGAGAAGAGGGAAGGGATTAGGATTATAAAGGACAAGGCCTTCTGTGCACATTCTTTCTTCATTGGAGCCCTGATCTCTGATCCTTTCCTCAGATTTCTCACTGACCTCCTAGCTAGGTCACTCCCTGAGCCTGGCAACACATCCTTGAAGCTTTCCAGGTACCACTGGTGTCTGTCTGTCCTATCTCATGCCTGTTTTTATAGCTCTGTGGGTGATTGAGGGGGAGCCTTCTGTGAAACTTCTGCACCAACCCTCTGCTGCTGTTTAAAAGAAAGACACTTTGTCACGTCCATAAGGTGCTCTCCAGATACATGCCCTGCCCTACTGCACCTTACTGTCTGATCTCCAAACTCTCTCCTGTAGTCCTACAGGGGCTGCCAGGCACACACATGTGTGTGTTCTGCCCCACAGAACTGAGGTTATGGAGTGAGGCTGTCCTAGAATATGGTCATGTGTGCCTCTGAAATCCTGCACGCACTGGGGAAAGAGGTGATGCTCCCTGGCACAGGATCATTCTGAAAATGCCAGGGAAGACTTGACAGAAGAATAGGGTAGTGGAAACAACCTTGTGATGGAGACCAGGGGGGCTTTGAAGGTGTCTGGCTGCACTGAGGGAAAGA